ACGTCTTTATAGGTTGGGGCTATCTGAGGTGTGGTCATGCTGTATTTGGTTTAAAACTTGTTCCATTGGTAGGTTGAGAGGGGTATATCGCTCTAACCAGCTAGAGGGCCAAGAGGGAGTGGGTCGGTCGGTCAGTCGATTTTAGCGCAAAGATCGGTTAGAATAACGGGAAGGTCGACCGGGGTATTGGGAGTGTGCGGGCTCAAGCTTTTTGCATCTTTCTTTGGATTGTAAGGGTTTGAGAGTAGAATCTTGGCGGGCCACCAAAGAGTCTTCAGCGTTCATGTACTTTTGAGCTTTGGCTAGAAGGGTTGACATGGTGGTTGGAGGGTTTTCGAAGAGGGAAAAAAAAAATTCTGATGGACGCAGACTAGCCATAAAGGCTGTTAGGATGACCTTGTTGTCATTCTCCTTAACTTGTAAGGCTTCTGTGTCAAAGCAAGTGAAGAAGCTACGCAGAGACTCTCCTTTTGTTTGTCAGATATTCAGCAACTGGGTCGCCGGATACCTTTGCCGTTAAGCTCCGATGAAATGACTCAAAAAGGACTTACTCAGTTGGTCAAAAGAGGTTATAAAGTCAAGCTTAAGCTGACAAAACCAAAGTCATGCCAATCCCTTTAACGTGACTAGGAAGGCACGACACATGATCTCATCAAGGAAAGTGTGAAGGACCACGGGAGTCTTGTAGGCCTCTAAGTGATCAACAGGGTCAGCAATGTCGTCGAAGGTGTCGATCAATGGCATCTTGAACTTGGGAGGTAGAGGCTTATCCTTGATAGAGGCGGTAAATGGGGAATCAGCTGTAGAGGATGGCTTGGACTACATGTTTTACATGACCCCTTGTAGTTAGAGCTTGACAATGCGTAGCTCCTCGTCCCAAATTGGAATGTTATCTCCTTTGGTGAGGGGGAAAGGTTGGACACTAGATTTCCCTTCATGAGCGAAAGGGAGGTGTTGCTGTGGTGATTATGGAAAGGATGAGGGGTCATTTGGATGTAGATACGACTTCTGCAGGGGAAATGGTAGGTCATTTGGGTTGCTTAGGTGTTAAGCTTGTGGAATGGTGGTGGAAGGAATGGGTCTTGTGATGCATGCTGCTAATTAGAAAAATGGTTTTGGGCTTGATCGTGGTTCAAGGAGATATCTTGTGGTGTTAGAGGTAGAGGGACAGGTAGTTCACGTTGAAGTAAAGCATTGATCAATGCTTGGTTCTATTATGCCAGGTGGTTAATACTATTAGTGAGCTTTGTGAAATATGAAGATGGGTTATTTGGGCTAGAGGACTTGGCTTAAGGGTTCTTGGTAGTGTGATGCGAAGCCATGGATCGCATTGTAACCATTCATTCCGACGCTTAGAGGTGAGTGGGAGAAGAATTGTTTTTGGTGACGGTGAACACAACTGTCGATCGGAAAAGTGTTCCCACAGACGCCGCCAACTGATGATGCAATTTGGTCAGCAAGAGATGGGTCAAACTGATGCAATGCTTCACGGGTTGACCGTCCTTCGTCTTCTCAATTGCACCTATAACAAGCCCAATAGGAAGGTTTCGAAATGAGGATGGTTTATTTCTGTGGACCCTCTGACAATCAAGTTAGATTGATAATACAAGAGTACGAACTTAGAGAGAATACTGAGAATAGAGAGATAGAGAGAGAAAGAGTTACTTGTTATCAAATGTTCTTCAGAAGCTTCATTATATCTCTTACTAATCATTTCCATATCCATTCAAGTCGTCTCATTAGCCAAAATGCTATAACCTATTTGTTGTCGGTCATGGTGGTTTCACCATGCCCCAGAGGGAGAGGTCTAATTACATTTAATTCCATGATAGTTTCATTTAAAGTTTGGCGTATGGTTCAATAACTTTGTAGAATCTTTGTCTGTCACGTGGCTAAGTCCCTACCTGACACATGTCTAATTGGAACTGGGCCTAGACTAGTGTAGGTTCCCCATTGGGCTTGCTGTTAGACTTCAACTACTGAGCTTTGGCCAAGTGATTGTTTGGGCAACCTAAGACAACAACCGTCAGTTGGGGCCTCTTGGGCCATGCCCATCAAATTGTAATATTGGAAGTTTCATTTTGATATATATAAAATTATTCATTTCAAAAGAAAAAAAATTACATAATTTCATACTTTTTTAATCATTATCGCATGCCCAGAGGGTACCTGAGCGCGCTAAACAATTTGGACCCTCGATTTCTTTGATCTAGTCTCACGAGTGCTATGTGAAACATAGATGAGAGTCCAGATCAGACAACTTTTATAGAAAATCCATTTTAGTGTAAAATCATTGTCAGAAATGGATTGCATTACCAAATCTCAGAGTTGCCACCTAATCTCTTGGAAAAACTAGGAAACTCGTGACTCGTGCCAAGGCCACTGTTCATCATAACCAAAGATGTCTTGGTTTGGAATCTTAGATATGAGGGGGGAAGGTCATTAATTGAGCACCCTTGCTCACCTGATCAAAAGATCAGCCTCCACTAAATCATGATATGAGTTTTATTGACTTTATATGTTCATATTCCATTTGTTTAATAAATACTAAAATTATTATGTGAATTAATCAAGTATAGATTGAGTCATTCATTTTGGAACATTTGATTTCATGTATTTTTGAAAAAGTTTGAATAATGTACAACTCAAAAGAAATTGAGTTCACAAACATGAAAATTGATATTATTCCAAATTGAATAATATAACCTCCACCTACTGGCATTCATAGAGATATATCAGTTAAACAAGTAGCCGCATGGTAGGATGCTTAGACATAGTAAGAAAAACACTCACAAGAGGGATGCTAAACACTTACATAGTATTTATTAGCGTCCCACGAAAAGCTGCAAAAAAGAGTTAGGGAAATATACATGATCCTAGATACAAAATTCTAATGCAATACATATACAAAAATGCAACTAAAAATCAGGCTACTAATACATAACATGTGAATCATTTCAATACATAGGGTAGTGCATAAAATCACATAGAAATTGATTAAACTCACAGATGCAAATGAGCCGAATTTAAATGCATGAAATATGGATGCAAAGCATATGATGAAAAACAAAATATGATATTATTTACAGCTATAGAAAGTAAGTAAATAAAAAGGATAGAAAGAAGTAGAGAATGGACATTATTACAACAAGCTAAATCTAACAAAACATATAAACAATTTATTCAGAAAATCTAAGGATAGGTGGTTCAGCCAACCATTTCTAATAAGCTAAATCACATATGTAAAATAAAAAACAAAATTTAAAATAAAGAGACTACATTAGAAGGCTCAACTAACCATTTTTAACAAGCTAAATCACATATTTAAAATAAGAAGCAAAACTCAAAATAAAGAAACTACATCAGGTGGCTCAACCAATCATTTCTAACAAACTATATCACATATTTAAAATAAGAAACAAAATTCAAAATAAAGAAAACTACATCAGGTGGCTTAGCCAACCATTTCTAACAAACTATATCACATATTAAAGACAAGAGAAATAGAAATAAAATAAATGAAAAAATTGTAAAAACTCACATTTGGAGGAAAAGAAGAATTTTCTAATTGCCAAACTTTCTTCATAACACCATTACGGTTATGGAGTATGCTTTGAAATCTCATCAAGAAGTTTCAAGTTTAAACTTTAATGAAATTTTGGGTGGTATATATCAATGGACGGAAAGGTTGATTGGAAGCTTTGGTTGAAAAGGCTTTCGTATTCTCAAAATAACTCAAGATTTTTGAAAATCGATCTTGCCCTCAAGATTTTTTGAAACGAAAATTCTTTTGAAACAAAATTCTTTTTTTAAAATTTTCTCTTTTTCATTTTGAAACAATTTTTTTTTTTTAAGACTTTTGAAACAAAATTTTCTTTCTCCCAAATTTTCTCCTTTTTTCCTTTTGAAGAAAAATTTTATTTTCCAAAATTTTTCTCTCCCTAAGACTTTTGAAACAAAATTTTGTTTTCTAAAATTTTCTCCCTTTCTCCAAACAACAAAATGAGGGATGTTTATAGAATTAAAAATCACCTAAAACACATGGCTGGCCATGTGGTATTTCCAAAAACATATAGTTGGCCATGTGGTATCTCAAAATCATATGGCTTGCCATGTGTTTTCAAAAACATGTGGCTAGTCATGTGTTATGGGAGCCAATTTTTTCAAAACTGCTAAATTTTTTGAACAAGAAAAAATTAGAAAAAATGTTTTGAAGAGGCCTAAAATAATTCGGCTAAAACGGGTGTAATATTAGAATTAAAACCTAAACCTAACTTTTCTACTAAGAAATTCATAAAATAATTCTAATTTTCATCAACTGGTGTTCAAAAGAAAACACCCAAATCTTCAGGCCGGTCAAAATGGAATGTCTACAGTCATAACCAAAAAAGCATATGTGATACATAATTAAATTTAAATACGACCACATAAAACATAATCAAACATTTCATTAATCTTAACTAAAATAGTCTAGTATAATTTTTTTTTTTCATAAATAATTTATATATAGCCGATCCCATTTGATTAGATTTAAGATTTGATTTAATGTAAATAATCTATATATGCAATATATTTATTGTTTAATTTCCACTTTTAATTAAAATTTAAAATTAAATTAAATAAAAAATTAGTAAAATATTAGACATGGTGTCAGAGAGTGCACACGCCAACCAACCAACTATTTTAATTCATCAGTCGGTAATGAGTCATTTTCCAAAGTCTTCCCCCATTTTCCAAGTCTTCCCTCATTTGTCTTTGCACAATTGTTATGAAACCTTTAGGGGTGGTGTGGCATCCCTAAATAATTCATCTTTTTATCTTTTTTTCATCATATCATCTTGTTATTTTTTTACATATTTCTTTATATTTTTTACACATCTGTTCGTAAAAAGGCAAAAAAAAATACACTTATACATCTCAACTTGGGTCATTTAGTTTGGCAAAACATTATTTGCAATTTTGGGAGCTTTCATTGAATTGAATCCAGATAGCAAGTCAACATGGCTGCATCGTTTCTACCATTTGTGCTTCAGAATCTCAACTCCTTGATCCAAAAGGAGGTGGGCTTGCTTTGCGGTGTTGACAAGGAGACGAAAAAACTTTCAAGCACTCTCACCACCATCCGGGCTGTCCTGGAAGATGCAGAACAAAAACAATTCCAAGACAAAGCCATACAAAATTGGTTGAGAAAACTCAATGATGCAGCCTATGAAGTAGAAGACATCTTGGATGACTGCACAACCGAAGCCCTCCAATACGAATCAAAAAGGCTGAGTTCTAGTTCTCTAAAGAAGGTAATAAGCACTTCCTTGTTGACTTGTTATCCTGTTGAGAACATTCTGTTCCGTCACAAGATAGGGAATAGGATGAAAGATACCATAGAGAACTTAAATGCAATTGCTGAAGAGCGGATGAAGTTTCATTTACGTGAGGTGGTTGTGGAGAAACGAGTTGAATTGGCTGAAAGACGTGAAACTAGCTCTGCTCTGATTCAACCACAACTGTATGGAAGAGAAGAAGATAAAGAAAAAATTGTCAAAATGTTGGTTGAGAATATATGTGATTGTCAGGATGTTTCTGTCTACCCTATAATTGGCATGGGGGGGCTAGGAAAGACCACGCTTGCCCAAATGGTCTTCAACGATGAGAGGGTAGAGTGCCACTTTGAGCTTAAAATTTGGGTTTATGTTTCTCAGGATTTTGATGTGAAAAGGGTGATAAAAGCAATAATCGAATCCGTATCTGACAGAACCTGTGAAGCCTCAAACCTAGATTCTTTGCAGAAAAAGCTTCGAGAGATGCTAAATGGGAAAAGATATTTGCTTGTATTAGATGATGTGTGGGACGAAGATCAAGACAACTGGGATGGGCTAAAGTATTTACTAGCATGTGGATCAAAAGGTGCTTCCATTATTGTTACTACTCGTGTTGCAAAGGTGGCATCAATCATGGGAACTGTTCTAGCACATCACTTGTCATTTTTATCTGAAGAAGATTGCTGGTTGTTGTTCAAACAACGGGCATTTGGACACGGGAATGAAGAGCATCCAAACCTTGTGGCCATTGGGAAGGAGATAGTGAAGAAGTGTGGGGGTGTGCCTTTAGCTGCAAAGGCCCTTGGAGGGCTAATGCGCTTCAAAAGTGAGGAAACAGATTGGCATTCCGTTCAAGAAAGTGAAATTTGGAACTTACCCCAAGACAAAAATTCCATCTTGCCTCTCTTAAGATTAAGTTACCATAATCTTCCATTGGAATTGAGACGGTGTTTTGCTTACTGTGCCATTTTTCTAAAAGGTTCTGAAATTGAAAAGGAGAAACTTATTCATCTTTGGATGGCTAATGGCTTTATTTCATCCAACGGAAAATCGGAGTTAGAAGATATTGGTAATGGTATATGGAATGAGTTATATTGGAGATCTTTTTTCCAAGATGTGGACAAAGATTCATATGGCAACATTATTTTCAAAATTCATGACCTTATGCACGATATTGCCCAATCCGTTATGGAAGATGAATGCCATATGATGGAGGCTGAAAGCTCAAAGAACATATAAGTGCGAAGAATTCATCATGTTACACTGGTTGTTGACTACCTGCACACAACTGCCTTTCCTAAAGCATTATATAGAGTTGAATCCTTACATACAATTCTTCTACAATATGGACGGCCAAACACTTACTCTGATAGGGTTTTTCCTTTTTCTTGTGACTTCACAAATTTTGGTTCGTCACGAGTGTTCGATGCATTGGGCACCAACATGGGGCAGTTGTCTTCTTCAATTGGTAAGTTAAAACATTTAGGGCATGTTTGATTGGAAGGATTAAAGCATGGGATTGGGATTATTAATCCGTGGGTCCAATTATCCTATGTTTGTTTTGACATTTTGGTTTAGGATTATTAATCCAATGGATAATTAATCCAATAAATTTGTAGGATTATTAGTAATGGGGTAGGGGTGGAATAGTTAATACCACACTAATTTGATAGGATTATTAATACGTCACTATTAGTGTTGTGAATCAAACATGACCTTAGGGTACTTGAACCTTTCTGGAACTCTCATTCGTACACTACCAAAGTCAATTTGTAGCCTTCACAATTTGCAGACTTCAAACCTAAATTCCTGTTATGAGCTTCAGAGGCTGCCCAAGAACATGAAATCCCTAAGAAGTCTCCGACATCTTTATTTGAAACATTGTCGCAAAATACAAGACATGCCTCCAAAGCTTGGGCATTTAACTCTTCTGAGGACATTAAGTTTAGTTGTCGTGGTTAAGAGTAGTGGTCATCGGGTAGTTGAATTGCAATGCTTAGATCTTGGAGGGGAACTGTATATCCGTCACCTTGAGAGAGTGAGAAACTCAATGGATGCCAAAGAAGCCAATTTGGTCGGAAAACAGAACCTTCGAGTCTTGAGGTTATCATGGGGACATGACAGTGAATCAGAATCACAAGCAAATGTTGAACAACTACTTGAATCCTTCGAACCTCACCCAAATGTTGAAGAGTTGTTCATAGACAATTACAGAGGTGCCCACTTCCCACTTTGGATGAGGGATTCAATTCTTAAAAACATAGTTTCTATTGTGCTACTTAGCGGCAGAAACTGTTTAGAACTTCTAGCCTTTGGACAGTTGCCTTCCCTGCGACGGCTTCTGATTTCCGAAATGGATTATGTGGAGTACATTGACAATTACTTCCCTAGCGGAAGCCCTGTTAGAGGATTTCCGGCTTTGGAAGTGCTCCGTATTTCTAAGTTGCCAAATTTGGTAGGGTTGTCAAGGGAGGAAGGAAGAGAGATACTCCCTTGTCTTCACCAGATATACATCAGCAATTGCCCAAAATTGACCTTGTCGCGTCTTTCATCACCAAAACTCTTGAATGTCTGGAGTTCCAGCAACGTGGAACTAAGTTCAATCTCAAATCTTAAGAATCTCACTACCCTTTCAGTTGATGGCGGGGACATGATTTCTTTTCCAGAAGAGATGTTGCAAAACCTAACTGTTCTTGAATCTCTACAAATTAGAAGCTTTAGCCAACTTAGAGTGCTACCTACAAACTTGGAAAGCCTCGTATCTTTGAAGTCATTGAGTATCATGCGTTGTCATGAGATTGAGTCTTTGCCAGATCATGGGCTACGAAGCCTAAAGTCTCTCCAACGTCTGACGATTGACAACTGCAATAATTTGAGTGCTTTATCTGAGAGTTTGGGACACCTCACTGCCTTGGAGGAATTGCAAGTTCATGGGTGTCCCAAGCTAGTGACTTTGCCAGACAGCATTAAACATCTTGTTTCTCTTCGACACCTAAATATTTGTGGTAGTCCTGGATCCTGGTATGCAGGTGATCTTGTTATTTGTGCAGAGTTGAAGACTTTGCCTGAGGCATTGAAACATGTCCCTGCACTTCAATCTCTATCTATTTCTAGGTATCCAGAGGTCACATCACTGCCTGAATGGTTGGGAAACCTTACGTCACTTCAATCATTGCGCATTGGTTACTATCCCAAGATTCCATCACTTCCACATGGCTTTCAAAGGCTAACCAACCTCCAAACTTTGAGCATTTATGGATACTGTCCTAAATTGGTAAGGCGATGTCAAAAGGAAAAGGGGGACGATTGGTATAAGATAGCACATATTCCAGAAATCAATCTGTAAGTACTTGTTTATTGTGTCTCTTTTTTTTTTTTTTTTTTCTCTCTCCAATTTTCTACAGATTTGTAAATGTTTGAGTTATTCATAAAGAACAATTGCTTTACTTTAAAAGGTCATATTCTTGTTCAGTAAGTATATATATACTAGAAAAGTGACCTTTTGCTACTATATAATTGCGACTGTTTGATTACCCGTCGCAAATAACCAATTTATTCTTTCTTTCTTTTATTAATATATTTATTTTACCCTTTTACCCGTTTTCCTTATATTTGCCCTAGTTCTAGAAAAATTCAAACACTGATCGTTCTCTCTCTCTCTCTCTCTCTCTCTCTTACGCATCACAAACCTGTATAGCTCTGCTCTCTCGCTCGCTCTTTCACTCGCCATTGTCGTCTGAGATATCCGGCGATATGAATCTCTCTCTCTCTCTTCCTCTCTCCCAATTTCTATCTCTCTCAATCTCTCTCTCTGTGCCTATACACACATATTTACATGTATCTATGAAGTATGACTCAGATTGTGTAGTGTGAAGTTTAAATGTTAGTCAGCTAAGATTGGGTTGATGTTGATATAAATGTGTTTCGGTGAATTTGATTAAGGTTTTTGTGAATTGGATTTTGAAAATTGAATCTAATTGCTCAAGGTTGTGGAATTGTTTTAGATGGATTTGAGTTTGGCAATTTCTAAATTTTCTTCTTTTTTTATTTTTAAATGTGAAATTAGTACTGTTCAATTGTTTTTTGTGTTAATCGAATTGTGCTATTCTGAGATCCATGTTCATGTAGAATCTGAAATTTGAGTTTTATATGTATATACCTATAAAATATTCAGACTCTTTTGAAATTCACATCTGAATTTTCTTTTTCTGATATTTTTTATCACAAATATTTCTGTTTCAGCTCCATGTTTATTATTATTATTATTTGAAATTCACATCCATATTTTTTATCTCAAAAGAATGCATTCTTCCATATTAACTAAGAAGGCTAGTGGAGATGTTAAAAATGTTTGTTAAAGTGTATTATATGACAAAAAGTGAAGTCCAACTTTGTATGTTAAGGGTTTGTTTATGTAGCAGTGTATATGGGTGTTCCAATGGAGATGTAAAAATGTGTTGTCGTCTTAGCCTCAGCTACTTCAACTCTGCACAACCTTTTTATTTGTGGAACATTTCCACAAAGCTTAAAAATGATTTTGTGATAAGATCGTCATCTTCACAAACAAATTTTCAAAACTCAACCTTCCTTTACAGAGGCAAAATTAAAGATTAATTCTTATAAAAAAGAATGAGAAATGAGACTTTTTGACTAACCAAAATAAAAACTTTAACTTCTTTGTAAATAAATTCATAATATACTGAATTTATCCTTGTTATGGAGTTTTTTCCATAATCTTTCATAACCATATCAGTTGTAGCTTGTTTTCCTCAAATCCAAAGTGTCATGATTCATGAATTGAACATTAGGCACATTTGCTTTGCAGATGACCTCTTTGTTCTTTGTTATCCTAATGATCAGTCCTTTTAAATAGTTTTTAATGCTCTTCTTGAATTCAATAAATTTTCTGGCCTTCCACCAAAAAAAGAGCAAAACAAGATTTACATCATTGGTATTGATGATCAATCTAAGATAGATCTTTGCAATTTTGATTTGGGTTCAACTTGGTTCCCTTCCGGTCAAATACTTTGGAGTGCCCCTTATTTCTAGTTAGCTCTCAGCTGATAATTGTAAAGGCCTCATTGACAAAATTAGTTTCTTTCCTACACTGGTAGACTTCACATTATCCAGTCTATTCTCTTCAGCAAGTTTTTTGGTCTATGCACTTTATCCTCCTCAAGTCAGTATGCTTGCATGTAGAGCAGTTGCTCAGGATTTTTGTGGACAGGGACCAACTCTTACCTTCATTCTAATAAATTCACTTGAGGGACTCTTTGCTTGCCTAAACCAGAAGGAGGTCTTGGCATTAGAAAGCTTCTAGATTGGAACCATGCTTATTTCCTCAGGCATATTTGGGTCATTTACTCTAAGCATCATTCAACTGTGAGTTCAATTAGGGGTGTAAGCGGTTTGGTTCAAGGGAAAGTTTAGCACCAAACCGAACCTTTCGGTTTTGTTAGTTGAGGAACCAAAACAGACCGCATTCTACAGCTCAATTTTCTCGGTTTGGTGTAGAGAAGGGAACATGAGATTTTAAAAGGGTTTTATAAAAACTTGCACAATCACACATCGAGAATAAATGAAGTAAAATAGTGAAAGTTGCTCTATAAATGTCTCCCTCCCTAATTTTTATTAGAAATTGTGTATTGTTAGTCACTTATCTTCTAATGCTCAAAATTTTTAAATATAATATTTCAGTCGTTTCAGTTTGTATGAGTGTATAAAATTTTAAAACCACAACAGATCGCACGTTATGAAAAATAGACCACAAACCAAAATTTCAATTGATCTTGAGCAGTCAGTCTAGTTTCATTGGTTTTTCTTACACCCATAAATTCAATGGTGCTGTAGATATCTTATTAGAGGCAAATGTTTTTGGGCTTTTACAGTCCTTTCTGACTGCTCCTGGACTTGGAGAAAGGTTCTTAATCTTAGATGCATTGGCAGACCTTTCGTTAAGGATATCATTGGACCTGGCTTTTCCCTCCCTCTCTAATGCCTTCCTTTCAGCCCAATTGTTCTAGAGATGATGAGGTTCAGTGCATTATTTCCTCCCCTCTTAAATACAAAGCTACAACACTTGGGATGCTATCAAGCCTCATTCCCTTTCTGTGATTTGGCATAAGATTATTTGGTTCCCTAAGTACATTCCCAGACACGGCTTTGTTTTTGGATAGCTATTAGAGGAAGGCTTAGGACTAAGGCAGGCTCAAAGATTGTGGGGAGATTGATTCACTACTTGTCTCGTTTGTCCACAAAGACGTTGAGTCTCTTTCTCATATTTCTTTAATTGTTCCTTCTCTAGAGCAATTTGGGAGCAGATTTGTTGCTTTTCTAAGGCTCAACATTCTAGGGATAATGAGATATCATGGATTGCTAACCAATTTAGTGGGAATTTTTTTTTCCATATAGTGAGGAAAATTGCTTAGGCTGCAACGGTATACTACATCTGGCAAGAGAGAAATCATGGGCTTTCAAAGGATATCATGGGCCTACATATTTGATGAATCAGATTAATTATGATATTAGAGTTAAATTTTCTCAGTTTGCATCTATTAAGCAATCTTACTCTAATCTGCTATTGTGAAAAAACTGGTAGATTTCTAAGAGAATTTTTGCTCCTCATTAGTCTAGCTGCTTCGTGTTTTTCTTGATTTTGGTATTTGAAAGTTATGCCTCCCTTGATTTTTGTATTCTTTGTTTCTTTTAATGAAATTCTCACATACCATTCACTCAAGTGTAAATTTTAACAATCCCTAGTAAAAATGAAATGCCCAAACAAAAACTTGAAACACCTAATTCAATCCATTCAATTTGATATCACTCTGCATCACTACTTAGTGCCTTTATGATGATTGAATTGAAGCTTGATTAACGAGCCCACTAAGAAAAAAAACAAATGATATACATATATATATATATATATATGAATATATATATGCTTGTATACTGACCAAAACAGACCTTAGGTCACTAGTCTGCAACAGATTGATTAACCTCATGGGCTATGAACTCGTAAACATGTAAAACACTCTTGCTTCAAGTTTTAAACCTTTCACTAAATATTTGATTCATATTTCTAGAACTCTACATAATTATGTATATTATATGATCAAAGATTTTGAAATTAGGTTTGTATTTTTTTCTCCCATGGATAAAACTGTTGGACTGATCTCAGTTGGACTAAGATTCTGAAGCTAAAAGTTGCAATCATTCACCATGAAATGCTTATGGATTAGCTACCTCCTATAGTAGAGACTAGAGAAAAATGTGATTAGTTTTGAAATGTTCCATATGATACATGATTAGGAGTTCAACTTTCGCTGTCATTTCTTGCTATTGGTGGAACAATCCATGTTAGCTGAACTTCTTTTACCTGTCATTGTTGCTGATTATTAGTTTTCATTCTAGTACTTCAAAGATCTGTTGTCAAATAATAGAAAGGCTTGTACCAAATAAATTCTCCAATTTGAAATCCATCAAAACACAAAGTGACCACTGCCCATTGGCACTGTGTAATAATCGACATGATTGAAGTAACAGAAAGTTATTGGATATTCATAATAATAGTTAGGGTAAATTACAATGATCTGTCTTGAGATTTGGATGAAATACAGTAAGCTACCTTGACGTTTAGTTTTAAATTATAGTGACCTTCCTCTAAGGTTTAATCAAATTGTAGAAACCTCCCCTAAGATTTTTGAAATGATAGAAACCTCCCTTAAGGTTTAGTTTTTTATTATAAATTCCCTCTTTTGTTACTTTATCGTTAAAAAATAAATAAATAAAAATAAAAATAAATAAATAAATAAATTGTTGACAATATCAAATAAGTTAATTACATTTCTAATTTTACTCTTATAATTGTGCCTAATTACAAAGAAATAAAAAAATACAAATTTTATTCTCTTTTTGTTATGCCTGCAATTACTATTGATTGTGTATGCTTCCTTTATCCAAAACCCACATGTTGCCAAGTATATATCCCGCATATCATGATAAATCTGTTAATGGTTTGAATGCAAGGAAATCAGAACTAATTCATGAAAAATTCTACAAGTATGTGGTTTAGTTTCACACTTGTGCATCTATTTCAATATCATTGACTACTGCTTTAGCTTTTATAGCCCTCATTGCCTCTCATAGTTTCATCAATAGTGCATAAATACCGATTTTTCAAGAACAACATAGTTACTAAATGGTAACCATGTCGTGATCAGCATGTCTAACCTTCAGCTAATTCATATACTAGCAACACAAATTGATGTAACAAATTATTTGAAGAAGATTAATCATTTGTTTTTTTCAACATGATTATATTTGAACAACATAAACCATTTATTGTCTTGAACCTGAGATATCTAAGATTGTCTATTCAAATGGGTTTCGCTTTAAAATGGCCTTAGAAGCATAAAATGCCTAAAGATTACTTTGTGCTGATTGTATGAATTTGTGATTGCCTATGACAGGGATGAAATTAACGAGATTGAGCACATTGAGTCCTCCATGATTCGGAGATTGTATGTTTCTTTCTTTATTTATTTCTGTTCATCTTTATGGATTTGTGCTTTCTTTTTGGTGTTGAAGGTTATTTGACTTTGTTTTTATGATAGCAGGTGCTGCTAGGCTTTCGGGTCACAATGACAGTAGCATGATAGCTGCAAGTTTTGAAGTGGTTGTAGCATTGGATACATTGCTGGCGAGGAATATATTGGGCTGCTTATTATAGGTCTGAGGTTGGATAACCGGCGGTGGTTTCATTCAGCTGTTCTGTTCTCAGACTCCCTTTGTGTTAATTTCTTCTCTGTGAAATAAAGATTAAATGTAGGTCTTATTGGGCTATGTGTAATAATATTAGTGTGTGATGGACACTGGGTGCTCTAGCCTTCGGAGGTTAGAGGGTTAGAGCCTCCTATCATGCCCACTATTTTTTTGAGCGATGATTTGAAGTTCAATTTCTGTTATAATTTTATATTCTTTCACTAGTGTTATGTAGTATGTATTTTGTGTTGATTATTGGAGTTTACTCTTGAATTTTAATTCTGAGGAATACCCAGCTAGATGTTTTGATGAAGATAGATGATATTAGTGCATGGATAACTTGGGAGACTAAACAGAGAAGGGGAGGAGGAGGAGAGAGGTAACAGATAAGAAATATCCAAATTAGCTTTTGTTAAATTTTAGGATAAATTATACTTTTAACCATCAGACTTTCATTCAAATTCTTTATCTTTTGGAGGAAACTGCATGGGCTTCCTCGTCATTTTCATTTTCATTTTCCTACGTAGTATTGATGCAAGGGGGAATTTATTTTTATCAGAATTCATTTGATTGTTTTTTTTGGGTGAAATGTTTCTACTCACAAAATTACCACATAATTTATTCTGTTGCCTAAAAAGAAAGGGGGGAAATGAGAAAGTTAAGTCGTAGGCTGATTGCTTCATGTTTCTCCATTGTCCTGACAATGAAGGGAGGTTTCTTTATGGTATCTTTTGGTCTTCTGAGGGCTGTTTGCCATTTTCTGTGGAGGTTTTTGCATCCTCCCTTGGTCCTTTTTTCATTGATGTGGAGTGATGCAAATTGAGCTAACCTTATGGGTTTCCAACATCAACACATGTTTTGCTAGGGAGCAGCATCCCATTGCTTTAATGTGCACCCTGTTGACATTTTGGCAACATCAATGACCAAAATCAATTCATATTTTTTTTATTGCGCTGGCCTAGCAAAGAAACAAGTAATCTTTTATTCCTGTGACCGGCAATATTCGAAGTTCTCACATGACTAGATGTTTAAATAATTCAATTTACAGCAGTACCGTGTTTCAGCACAAGTGGAAATAGTGTCATCCCTATTTAGGAGTGAAAATAAGAAGAAGAAGAAGAAGAAAGTAAAGGAAGAAAAAGTTATGCAGACTGATTGAATTCATGATGAATGATACATGGATTTGATTTAAACCGTGGTTGATAAAGACTTATAAATTCAGATTGCTAATGGTTAATCCTATGGATTCATGACAACACACAAAAGCTAAAATTTGAATAGATACTATTCTCCATAAGATTTGACCGAGACAAATCGATGTTGGTGAGTTGACTCAAGACTGATAGGCAGTTCATGTCAAGTGTTAGGCTGTTTTGAGCTTTTCTCTAATATTGATTGCAAGTACATCCCTTGTGACTCTATTCTCATCTGCACCTTCTTTTGTACCAATGACATATTGGGAAAAAGATAGAGGAAAAATAAAAAATAAAAATCAGACAATGGCCAAAATCCATGGCATGAATTAGCAAAAGGTTTGTGACACACTATAAATAAGAGGCCTACAGTTAAGAGGGAAAATGATTGTCAAACTGTCAAATGATAGAGATACCTCAAGTCACTCCTACAATCTTTTCTGTGCACTGACTGACACGGAGGAGTCTGGGAATACTACAACCTCGCGCACAAGCCCACCTCAGCCCGAAACCTTCCACCGGCAACATATCCATTCTCACAGCCACTTTAGAACCAGCAGCTATTGTACTGCAATTATGATCGAAAAGAATGGTGCCACTAACCATCATTTTAAAAATAAATAAATAAATGTAAATATATATATATATATATATATATTAGTACAAACGCAGAATGGGAAAAATAATGAATAACTTACGAAGATGAACAGAAATGATTTACAAACATACATTCTATATTAATCATCGAGTACAATCTTATAATTCCAGCTGCTACACTTTTGTCACTGGAAATTGGAGACAATTTCAGACTTTCAGCACAAAATGTAATCTTTAGACATTTATGTTTCACAGTCATCTCGGTGCTAAGATCAAAGTCCAATCCCATTTGCAATCCAAACTCGACCATCATAGATAGCACACACAAAAAGCTAACTTCGTTGTACATACTGATTGCTTAATAAATTATTACATGAACAAGTTTTTGATACATTTCAAATTTTGACACACCAATAATCAGCAACAAAGACAGGTTAAAGAAGTTCAGCTAAAATCAATCATTTCTCCAATAACAATAACTGACAATGGAAATTGAACCACTAAAATCATGTATCATATGGAACAGGAACATTTCAAAATGAATCACATTTGTCATTAATCCCTGTTATAAGTGGTAGCTAAACATGTCCAGTTGAATGATCTTGATTACACTCAGGTTCAGAATCTTAATCCAAGTGAGACGAATCAGTCCGTTGATGTGAACCAAGCTCTATTTTCTGAGTGTGTAAGAAAATAAACAAACCAAACATGAATGTGATCTTTTAGAGCAAAGCAATAGGTCTTTACAAAGAAGTCCACAAACATTCATACTGACCAAGGACTTCAGCCTTCAGGAGTACAAGAAGACATTTTGTTTAAATATCACTTTACTACTAATTTTACTGACAAGCAGATATGTAAGAATCATTTCAAGAAACATTCGAATAAGTGAAAGAGAATTTATCTTGGTCTATATGGAATGTCCACATGTAATATGTGCATTCCTTTCTGCACTTCACTCACTCATAATTAACGAGTAGATTCCATGTATTTACAGATCGATATCTGCAACGTGTGCTATCATATACCAATCCTCCACATTTCCCTTTTTACATCGCCTTGCCAATTCAGGACTGCATCCACAAATGCTCAAAGTTGGAGTTTGGTTAGGCTTTGAAAGCTACGCAGTAGGGATGGAATCTTGAGGCAGTCCCAAATGCACAATGATTGAAGAGACGTAAGTTTTCCCAACCATTCAGGAAGTGATGGGAACTCGTGATACCCAGAGATTGATAGAGATCGTAATCCTGGGACATGATGCAATGCTTCGGGCAAAGTCTTCGACTTTGCACAAATAACAAGAAATAGTCAGGTGTCGAAGGGAATTAAGATGCTTAATGCTCTGTGGAAGAGTCACTAGGTTAGGGCACCCACTAACATTCAATTTCTCCAAGGCCATTTCATGTTAATGCCCCACAAATTGAACACTCTCAGCGAACCAAAATTTGTGAAGTCACAAGAAAATAGCGAATTCTTTGCTTCGATATATTACTTGAGTTTTCAGACTCCATCATATGACATTCATCTTCCATAATAGATTGGACAAGATCGTGGATAAGATCATGCATTTTGAAAGTAATGTTTCCCAGTTCTTTGTCCACATCTTGGAAAAAGATCTCCAATATAACTCATTCCATATCCCATTTTCAATATCTTCAAACTCCGATTGTCCATTGGATGAAATAAAGTCATTAGCCATCCAAAGATGAATTAAATTTTCCTTTCCAATTCTAGAACCTATATATATATAAAGGCACAATAAACAAAACATCGTCTCAATTTCAATGGTAGATTATAGTAGCTTAATCTTATGGCAGGCAATATAGAATTTTCATCCTGGGGCAAGTTCCAAATTTCACTTTCTTTAACAAAACACCACTCATTTTCCTCACTTTTGAAGAGCATTAGCCCTCTGAGGGCCTTTACAGCTAAAGGTACACCCCTACACTTCTTCATTATCTCCTTCCCAATGGCCACAAGGTTTGGTCGTTCTTCATTTTCGCGTCCAAATGTTCGTTGCCTGAACAAAAGTCAGCAATCTTCTTCAGATAAAAATGACAGGTGATGTGGTGAAATAGTTCCCAAGATTGATGCTACCTTTTCAACATGAGTAGTAGTAATGATAATGGAAGCACCTTTCCGCATGCTAGTAAATACTTCAGCCTATCCCACTTCTCTTGATCTTCGTCCCACACATCGGGCCTGTTTGGTAGAGCTTGTTTTTAGCTTATTTTAGCTTTTAGCTTGATTTAAATTGTTTCATTGCGTTTAGTGTAGCTTAATAATACATATTATAGTTTTTTATAAGTGAAAAATCAGTTTTTTCCATAACTCTACCATACGGAGCCATCATCTAATACTACTTGCAAGCAAGTATCTTTTCCCATTCAGCATCTCTCAAAGCTTTTTCCGCAAAGAATCTAGGTTTGAGGCTTCACAGGTTTTCTTAGATATAGATACTATTTCTTTTATCACCCATTTTGCATTGAAATCCTGAGAAACATAAACCCTAAATTTAGGCTCAAAGTGGCTTTTTATCCTATTGTCATTGAATATCATTTGGGCAAGCGTTGTGGTTGAGTTAGAGCAGAGCTGTTTTCGCTGTCAACCAACATTTCAACAATCTTTTCTTTATCTTCTTCCCTTCCATACGTTTGTGGTTGAGTCAGAGCAGAGCTGGTTTCACGTCTTTCACCAATTCAACTCGCTTCTCCACAACCACCTCACGTAAATGAAACTTCATCTGCCCTTCAGCTGTTGCATTTAAGTTCACTGTGGTCTCTTTATCCTATTCTATATCTTGTGACGAAACAGAGAATGTTCTCAACAAGATAACAAGTGAATGAAGAAGTGCTGCTTACCTTCTACTTCAGAAAACCAGATTTCCATCTGAGAACTTCTGTTGTGCAATCATCCTGTAGACACCCTATTTGATTCGACTATAAGATTCGGATACCTCCATGATATCCCCAATGAATAAGAAAGAAAGAAAGAAAATTATTCCTTAGAAAGTGAGAATGATCGAGGAAGGCTTGCATCTAGAAATCTATTGAACCAATGTTATCCACCAATTGCTAACCATTATGCTTCATGCCTCGATACAGAATTGTGGGCCTTACATTCTCAAACAATTATAAATTTTTTAATAACCCCCTAATCATGCTTCAAAAACATAAGATTATTTCTCTTATTCAAGTGGAGATTACTAATGTGATGTTACTTATGTTTTGTTGTTTCAAATTTAAAAATAAAATGATATATAAGTCTATTTTTTAGAATCGCATTCTAAACTAGTGATGTGTCAAAAAGATGATTAATTGATCATCTTTTTAACACATCATTGGATCTAAAAAGCGAGTCTAACTTTTGGACTTGAATAATAATGCTCAATTTAAAAACTTCACAACTTTTATCATGCACATTTATTTTTGATAAAAATTATATTTTTGGGAGTCTATAATGAGATCTATCAAATAAGACCAATATTAA